CAGGGGCGCACCCAGAGGGTGGGGTTGTCCCAGCTTCTGTTCTGTTCTGGGTATAAACTGGTTTCAAATCACTTACACCAGTAAAAGTGTCATGTCTGTACCTGGCCTTAGAGTAAAAGGCCATATAGATTTTACAATTTGGAGCTGTACAAGGGAAGGTGTTGTATAGCACCTTTGAGTCCCAGGTGGTAGAAGAAGCTGCAGAGGGTTTAGTAATGGCATCCTGGACCTTTTCACCTGTAGGGCACCTATTCAGTCACCTATTCAGATTCCAGCCATGGTGGGTGGTGACTGCCAGTGTGTGACACCTTGTTATTGACCACAGACATTTCTATCCAGTTTCTAGCAGAATTTTCCAGACCACAAAATCAAGTGCTTGATTGGCCTTGGTGAGCTGTTTGGCAAGGGTTGTCAGGAGGGGCATGAGAGTGGAGGGTGAACTCGTCTGTCCCTGGAAGTGGTAGTTCCAGAGCAGGGTGAGGAGCAGGTGTCAAGGGAACGCTGCCTGTGGTTTACCTCATGAGTAAAACATAGTACACATGGGTAAGAATAGGCCTTCAGGCTCTAGCTGGTCCATGTAAGTGTGAAAACCCAGCCTGCCTACTAACAAAACTATCCAGCCCACTATAGCTGAACAATTACTGCATAGTAGGAAGCACCTCTGTGTGTTTAATGGCCACTTCCAAACTCACTTTCAAAAAGGAAAACTGCACTTGCAACTTTTCCCTGGCATCCTCTAGTGTAGTAACTTATTAGTTGCTGACTCATTGCTGGACTGTCCAACAGGACCATTATATTGGCTTTCTAAACCAGGAATGATTCCTGAAAAAAACATTGAGTTTGTAATTCTTCTTTCTTGTTTTGATTTATAAGGTTCTGCAGCCAAGGTCATCTGGCTTTTTATTGCTACAGGCTTAAATTCCTTCTCTTAGTCCTGGTGCTTCACAGCTTTTCAAATTTCATTACTTTTTTTTATATTCAGGCAATCTACAAAATGGTGTCATCGGTAATGAAAATGCCGGAAGACGAATCCACTCCAGAAAAACGAACAGACAAAATCTTCAGGCAGATGGACACAAACAATGATGGTATGATCCCCACTAGGAGTCCTTAATTAGGTCTTGGAAGTAAACATATATTGCATGATACCATTTTTCAAATTTAGCGTTGCTGATGACAGTTGAGATTACTTTCAGGGTAACCTCCATTTCACTTATCCCACCATGGATGTCTGCCACTGTGATGTCGGCATGTCCATTACCTGCACACCCAAAGGAAAGTGGATATAGGTTGTGTTTGTGGAAACTGGCAAGCAAGGGCTGAACAGGGCTCTACAGGCCCTTAGAAAAAGTAGCACGGGCCTGTGTTCTTGTCACCTTCCCTCTTATACGTTTTCTATTGGTGCAGACGCAGCTGCTGAAATTGGTAGACTACTTGAGTTTGTGTGAGCCCCTAGACTTGGGGTGTCACTGACCTCATCTGTGTTCTCCCCAGTATGCAAACCTACAAAATCCCAGGGTGATATAGTCTGTGAATAGCCTCAAACCCAGCCTCCTCCATATGTGGACTCATATGTTCTCTGACTCCAGGCAGCTCAGCTGCACCTAGCTATCATTCAGAGCCTATTCACCTGGCTTGTGAGGGCCATTTGCCCTTCTCTTCATTGCCTTTTCATGAGAGGCCCATGCCTAATTGTGTCTGGGCTCGGAATAGACAAGTACTGTGTTTTGTTGGAGGGGGCAAAAGCCCACACTGAATATTGTGTAGAGGCAGGAGCAAGGTAGGAGGGGAATCCGGAGGAAGGTGCTTGTGAAATGAAGAGTGAGCAATGGAGAAAATAAACACAAAAAAACTGAAAATAGAGGAGGCATTTTAAAAAAGTACAGAATCCTGTGTATGGGGTTGGGACTGGTAGAAGAAGATGAAAGTACTGTAGGAGGGGGATGGACAGTAGTATGTTTACCTCTTTGTCTTTAGTTTCGTATGTTCATTTTTTCAACTTAAAGGGGACAGCATGGTAGGGGCTGCGCTGGGGAAAGGAGTGTGTTTTGCCCAAGGAAAGGGATGCAGATGTGCTTCCTAAATGTACTTACCTCTGCTACACCTGTCCATACTATTCCCTTTCTCCCTGCATAGCAGGGATCCTGTTTTTTCACTCAAAAAATCACCCAGCTCTTCTGCTGCCACCCATTGCCATCTGCTTAAATAGCACTTGCCACTAAAACCAGTCAGAGCTCAGCTTACAGTTTCATTTGTTATTCATATCATCTGTTTTAATTTCCCAAACCTGAGTAGATACAGCTGCCTATTTAGAGAACCAGGGTTGCTACCTAACTTATTGTCCTTTCTGGGTTCTTATTTGCAGTTTTCTGTTTACAGTTGCTCGTGTCCTCTCTTGCAGTCTCTTTGACCCATAAATGATCTTGCATGAAATGGTCCTGAAACTTCTGTGGGTTCAGCATCCTCTAGTTCATGCTCTCTAGGGGGTTGACAAACCAAAGGCAGTCTTGCTGTCTTCACTCTAGTTTTCAGTAAGGCTGCTGGTGTAACAGGAGTGACAGGAGCAGGATTTGTCCTTGCATTTGTGCCATTCTCTCAGGAGAATGTTTCTGTTTCTGATCTTCATAGTGGTTTGTGCTTGCAAAATTTGTACCACTGAAAATCTGGCCCTAACCCAAGTGCTCTAATGCCACTTCTATTTATTTGCTTGTTTCTTTGTTTCTACAAGCCAGCAATTGGATTTGTTTTGCACAGAAAAGCTTTTGGATGCTCTAGCAATAGAGCCAGTGGGGCTGCTGGTCAGTTAGTACCTCCAAAGTAGAGGGCTTGCAGCTAGAGGTGCACAGATTATACTGGTGCCGTATCAGATCAGCACTAGTAAAAGGAAAATTAACATTATTGGCTATCGGCTTTTTTTGTCCACTGTAGCCAATAATGTCACTGGTAAATATAATATGCCTTGTGGGCAGAGCCCCCAAATGTTGCATAGATGTGCCCAACCACACACATGCACTGGCCAGGAATGCAGCCAGGCAGTACAGAGAGCAGTACCCTAAAGGTAAATCCCCTCCCCATGGAGGGGAAGGGGCATTTGGGGGGGGAGGCAGGGAGATCGAGGCCCCCACAGTGAGGGAGGGGGCTGGGGCAGGGCGGTGAATAGGACCCTGAGGCAGCAGGATGAAGCCATGTGTGGCTCATCCAGGGGATCGGCGTCCCAGCGCTTAAAAATGGCAGCGGGGGCACTCGAACTAAAGCTCATCAAATGAGCTTCAATTCAAGCACTCCCCGCCTCCATTTTTAAGTGCTGGGATGCCTTTAACCAGAGTAGAGCTGAGCAAAGTGAGGGCAGAGGTGGGCTGTCCACTACAGGCCCAGGGCTCTTCACTCTGCAGCCTTTACCCTGGGAGTCCCCCACCGGCTGCACCACACCCCCTACCCATTCGGTGGCAGTGGTGAGCTGTTCCTCCAGCTGCTGGATGGGAAGGGGGCATAACGCAGCTGGCATGCGGCTCCCAGAGCAAAGAGCCCCAAGTCTGTGGCAGACAACCCACCTACACCCTCACCCCATTCATTCGATGAGCTTTAGTTCAAGTACCCCTGCCACCATTTTTAAGTGCCAGGATGCTGATCCCATGTTCAAGCCGCCCACAGCTCCATCCTGCTCCCCGCCCTGACCCTAGGGTCCCATTCACTGCCCTGTCCCAGCCCCTGCCCCTGCCCTTGTCCCTCTCCCTCTTTCACTGTTGGGGCCTCGATCTGCTCCCCCCATGTCCCTTTACTTCCACAGACTTACCTGCAGGGTGATGTTCTCCACGCTGCCCGGCTGCATTCCTACAAATTGGTTATTGGATCACTTTAGGGCAGTATGCAAAAGTGATGCTGAGCAAACGGCGTATCCAAGATCTCATGCAGTGGCTAGAGCTTCTAGTTTGTGTAATAAAATAAAGTAGGCTTTACAAAAATCAGTAGTAAATATAGAGTGCAATAAAAGATGCAGCTTTAATTCTGAGAGAAACCCAGATATTCTGGGCACAAGCTTTATGGTGTTATTAATGTATGGACTTTTTCTGTTAGTAATATAACTGTACCCAAAGGCAGAGAGCAATTAAAACCAAAAATACAACATGGGCCGAAGCTGTGCTAACTGCTGGAGAGTATAACGTAAGGAATAAAATTGACCTATAATGAAACTGCTCTCACAAGAGGAATGTGGTTTTTTTATTCTTCTGGTTTTACGTGACCATAAAAATCTCAACTGAGGGTCTAATATCACTTAAATTGTACAGGTATAGTTTGATCAGGTCTTTTGCTTCTATATGATGTGATTAATGGCACATAGTGTTCTGCAAAGAGTTAATCTACTCAAGACAAAATATGCACATGGGGGAGTCCTGATGGAACAATGGAAGTTGGTGAAGAATGGCCCTAGAACAGGGGCAGGCAATTATTTCAGCTGGAGGGCCACTTAATGAGTTTTGGTGAGCTGCCGAGAGCTGCAACGGTAGCCCCACCCCTTGACAGGTGCCTGTCTTCTGGTTGCCATCTTGGGACTGAAAAATGACCTCTTCCCCCACTCCCCCCTGAAGTCTTTCCCCTTGCCCCTGGAAGTACTTATTTGGGGGGGGAGGTGCCATAAAGTATTTTTATTTCAAAAAATATTTTTGTCCTGATTTATGTGTTTGCATAGTATATATATAGAGGTGATTGCATAACAGCTCAAAAATAAAGTCTTACTCTTGTATATTGTGTGCAGGGTGTGTTTGGGGGAGCGTGTGTGTGCATGGTGGAATGTGGAGTGTGTATGTGGGTGATGTGTGTGGGGTTTGTGAGGGGGTGTGGCTGTGTGTGGGGGGTGTAGGGTATGTTGGGAGGGTGTGGCTATGTGTATATGTGAGAGGGTTGTGGGGGAGTGGTGAGTGTGGGGTTTGTGGGGTGATGGAGGGGGGGTATGGGGACCCCCCTCTACACCCCACCATGGCTGTTGATGGTGTCAGCAGCCCTTGCCATCAATGGTGGCAGCAGCTGCAAATAACAGGGCCTCAGGGTGTTCATGGCCCGCACAGGCGCAGCCGCTAGGTGGCACGCAGCTCCAGCCAGTTCCAGGGGCTGCATGTGGTGGCAAGGAGTGGAGCCAGGCTGGCCTGTGTCTATCACATGAGGCTCACGTGCAGCTCCCAGCACTTACATGCCACCAGGACAAAGCCCTGTGCAATGGAGCCAGCTGCCTTCCCTGCTCCCTGCCACCATGTGCAGCTCTTGGGACTTTGCTGGCAAGCAGAGAGTGGGGCTCCCCACCACTTCTGGCAGAATCCCATAAGCTGCATGTGGTGACAGGGAGCAGGGAAGGCAGTCACTCCAGCATGTAGGGCTTAACCTTGGTGGTGCACAAGTGCTGGCAGCTGCACGTGAACCCCATGCAGTAGAGGTGGGCTGACTTGGCTTCTCTCCTCACCGCCGTGTGCAACTCCTAGAACTGACTGGAGCCATGTGCCACTGAGTGGCTGTGCCTGTGCAGGCCACCAACACCCCAAGGGCCCGCTGCTTGTTCCCGCTGCCACCACTGGTGGCAGGGGCTGTGCACCATGCGGGGGGAGGAGGGGTGTGTGCAGGGGATCCCCATGCTTCCCCCTCCCTTCCTCACCCCAGACGCCCAAAACCTTCCCACTTGAGCTCTGCACTTCTGCTACCCCACTGGGTGCAGGCCCCAGGCTCTGTGCTCCTGCCAGCCCTGGCCTCCTGCCCAGCTGCAGCTTCCCTACCCACTGCCCAAAGCCAATGCTGCAGCAGGGACATGAGCAGCTGCTGGAAGCCAGGAAAGCCAAGCAGGTCCCCTCAGCGGCAGCAGCAGTGGCCCCGTCCCAAAGTTGTGCATGCTGGATGTGGCCCTCCTGTGCAGAAGGGTGGGAACAAAGAGAATTGATGGGCTGGATGGGGATATAATCAATTGGTGGGCACCCACGGGCCAGATCATGTCACCTGCAGGCCAGATGTGGCCCTCGGGCAGTATTTTGTCCTCTCTGCATTAAAATGTTGGGTATAGCTCTTGTATGAAATACCATACCCCATAACGAGGTCGAGTGAATGGACGTGTGAGTGCCAGAATAACGTTATACAGCAGTCCAGCAGCAGATCTTTGAATTAAAGTATTCAGCATGCAATTTTACACAGAATAGTTTTAGAGAATTCTCTGAAACTAGGAACCTTTTATACAGTAGCATCCAGCCACACCCTCTCCTGCTTGTCTTATGCTGAAGAGACAATGTAATGGTTCTCAGAGGGAATTGTCTGGCCAAATAAGTCATCCTAGAAAAAAAAAATGTTTCATTGCTCAGAAACACTGCCTTGTGGTGTATGTCTTTCGTTGTGTGCATGTGTGTGTACTATACCATTGCCAGTACCTCATATGCAAAATACTGGATAGAAAAAATGCTCTTGTCACTAAGGTTATTCAACTAAGAGTTCACAAACCTGATCCCGAAAGACCATGTGAGCTGAACTTGCTTTGATCTCAGCAGAAGCTCCACAACCAAGGGAACTTGGTTTGGTCCCAAGTGAACTTGCTATGAATTCAGTTTGGTTCACATTGGGTTTGGTCCCATGTGAGATCGCAGAAGCAGTGCCAGCCTCTTCAACAGTACTGCAGAACAGAGAAATACAGCCGTGCGCACTGCAGCAGTGTTGACTCGTGACTGTTCATACTCATCAAGCAGTGCCTGTTTTCAAATGCCAAGCAGAGCCACAGACTTCTACGTGGTTTTTACATTCACCTCCCCTAGTTAGCCCCAGCTCATGAGTTTTACCCTATTTAGCAAGTATTTTTCCACCCTTTTCTGCCCAGCATATCCCATTTCTGTGTCCCTGTGCAGCAGAATTTAGGAGATAAATAGTCCATCAGGAAGGGATACTCAGTCACACTGCCCTGCTGTCCATGAGCACGTTCCAGTGAATCATAACAGTTCATATAGTATGAAGACCCTGGGTTTTTTGGGTTTAAAAATCTCGCCTATAATCAAGCCTCTTTTTAAAACAGTTTGTATAGGTGTTCACGTGTACTATATGTTGTCTGAATGATTTTAATTCAGTTTTGTGTAATGCAGTTCTGCGTAATGTATGATTGAAGGTGGTATTAGTATACTTGTTTTACCTTGACCATGTGTTTTTAATATAAAATGTAGAGTAAAATATTACATTACTTGGCAGAGGGGAGGGGAGGGGAGGGGAGGGTGGAAACGTATCCAGGTTTAATTGCTTGAGTAGGATTTCAGTGCTCAGCTCCTCTTCGCTGCAATGAATTCAACCCCAAATGCATTGCAATAAGCTATTTGGTCTTAAGTATTCTATGAAGAGGTTTTAGTTTTAAGCCTCATTGACTTTTGCAGCATGATTGACTTACTTTGTTTTCTTCCTTCAAGGTAAACTGTCTCTTGAAGAGTTTATTAAAGGTGCCAAGAGTGATCCCTCTATTGTGCGATTGCTACAATGTGATCCGAGCAGCGCAAGTCAGTTCTAATTAAACTCTGGACAGTTTGCAAAGAAAATGCTGGCTTGTTGTTCAAGCTTTGCTCGCAAATGGATGCCTTCTCAATCATTCCTCAACTGTTAGTGGATAAGATTCCATTGCCAGATTGGTGTGTGTTTCCGAGTGAAGACAGCCGCGCTCTTTCACTAACACCAGTGCAAAGTTCCTTTTGGCAGTTCCATTTCCTCTCACCCCTAATGTTTTGACTCACTCTACACATTTAATGTAATTGAAAGGTATGTTTACATGCAGATGCTATGAGCTCAAATTTCCAGTGAGACATCACATCATGTAGTCGGTAGGAAAGACGACTTTCTAATAGTCCTAAGAAGATGCTAGGTAGGACTTTGATCCAGCATAGCAGACGGTAGATAATTTATTTTGCTTCAAAAATGACTGTACAAAATGAGGACTGAATGAAATAGAAAGCAAAATAAAACAAAAAAGGAAAAAAAAAGAAAAAGTTTTCTTGGGCATGGTTCCAATTTTTTTTTCTTTGAGAAAAATTGCTTGCACTTATCTAATGGTCTTTACTTTCTTTTAATATATATATATATATAAAAATTATATATATATGGTGAAGTAAAAATTAATATTTAGGTAATCTATTTAAGGCATAAAGTAGAATTCAAGCTTAAATTCTTCGTCTGTGATTTTATTCAAATCTTGGAGATTGGAGATTGTTTTTTGTGATATTTATGCATTAGCAAATTGCTGTTCAAAAGAAAGTGCATGACTAGCAGTTTGTGGATATTTCACTCTGTTTAATTACTGAATGAAAATATTTTGTTCATTTTTATTGTTGATCATTCCAGCGTTACTGTATTAACAAAAGACTTAAAGGAGTAATCTTAATTTTTGTATTTCTCAGTGGAGTCCCACTTAAGGTGGATGTAGCATTAAACGGCTTTTGAGTGAGATGAAGTGATGTGACTCGCACTGCTGTTCTAAATTTTGCTACACCCTCCTACCTGTTCATGTTCATAGTCTTGTGCATTCCAGTGTTATTTAATATCTGTCTAATGCCAAGAACTATTAATTGAAATAAAGACACTTTCTTGTCAGTACCTCTGTCTTAATTTAACCAGTGCAGATAGTCATTGCCCTATATTTGATCACAGGTTATGCTCCTTGTCTGAGAGCCTCCCCAACCCACCAAACGCACATTCCCTTAACTAAAGGTGGGATTTTTGGCTTTCCTCTGTAGTCCTTTGATCCTTGAGGCCCCTGCTCAGGGGTATGTATTAGTTCCCATTTGTGGGATTTATGAACCCTTATCTGTAGCAGACTGGACTGAGACCATGGAGTCCTAATTTTTCAAAGCTGAAAAGTCATGGAAAAGGTGATGACATGTGGTGGCACTGAGTTTAGATTACATCTAGAGTTGCCCATCATCTGGACACCAAGCTGAAAGCTGGAAAGCCTGGGTTGTCTCCCTGAATCTACCACTGACTTCATCTGATGCTTTATTTCATGCCTGGAACTAACATGCAATGCAGTTGTTTAGTATGGCTGTATAGTAGTTTGTTGGCATAAAAGTATGGAGCTCTATAACTTATGACCAGAGATCCTGGTTTTCTCTGATTAAAAAAAAGAAGAAACTTCTGTGATAAAAAAAAATCTGGAAATTTTCTGATAAAACCCCCAAAATCCATGATTAAAATGAAATGCCACTATATATATAGGTATCAATTGAACACAATGTTTTATTGATATATTTACAATTCTAAAGCATTTTGGAAGCCTGCCAGTGCCTCAATCACTGAAATAAAGTAAATTCTAAATACCTAGAGATTTTGGTATTTGATTTTGGATTTGGGCCTACCGAGACCTCACTGCAGCAAGGAGCTTCCCTGCCTGGCCCCTCTCTGCCCTGCCATGCCAGGTCCCGCCTGCTGGGCTGCAGAGGCCCTGAGTGGAGGGCAGCAAGGCAGGGAGCCGGAGCCTGCAGTGGGCAGCCCACCCCTGCCCCATGCACAGATCTGGGGGCCACATGCTGGCCTCACCCACCCTGCCTCCTGGACGAGCCACCAGCTGCTCCATCCTGCTCCCTGTGTTTGGCCCTGGGCCCCATGCACCACCCAGCTGGGCAGCAGCCCCAGCCCTGCCCAATTCACTCCCTCCCTCCCTATGGGGGCCTCAGTCCCCCATCCCCCCTCCAAACTTACATGTGGGAGCTGATCTCCAGGCTGCCTTGGAGCCATGTGCATGTACGTGCACATGGTGCCCCCCGCCTGACCGCTGTCCTCCCGTTCCCCCCAGCCCCTCACAAGCTGGAACTCTGCCAGCACGCAGAAAGCTCTTTGCAAAAGTGCAAAATCTGTGGGTTTCTCCATTAAAATTAAAAATCTGTGTTTTTCTTGGGTAAAAGGATTAAACCGCGCTTTTCTTCATTTTTCTGTGGAAAATGGAAAACCCGGATCCCTGCTCATGATCAATCTACTGAGCCAGCTGACCCTTGCCAAATGTGTCAGCAACAATTGTAAATTTTCTTTCTATTAAAGGAAAACAGTACCCAAACCCTGTGCCAAGGTCCTCTCCTATGAAGAAAGGATTGGCACAGCACAATTTTAATGGAGTATCCTAGTGAAACTGCATTTGGCACTCATGGCAAGAGTGGACAGAGCTTTCCAGTTCTCCACATTCATCAAGCACTTAAGTATGTGCTTAAACCTACCTTTATTCAGTAAAGTACTTAAGTATATATGTGCTTAGAGCAAGCCGCACAGTTTTGCTGAATATAAATGATGTTCTTAATGAGGGCACAAGGTAGCTGCAATCAGGTCTGAGTGTATACCTTCCATGTAAACATAAAGTGAGAAAAAGCACAACTTGCCATACCCAGTCTGGATCAAAGTCTACAAAGCAAGCTCATGCCAAACCTAAGACCAAGAAAAATATTCTTATAACATATTTTATTCTGTTTCTTAATTCAAGTTTAATATGAACTTTCTGCTGAACTGCACAATTGTGTCCAGTAAGACTCCAAAAGTGAAATTAACTGGAAACTATTGATCTGTTTTGCTCACTCAGGTTGAGAGAAATGCAAAACTTAAATCAGGCTGACATTGAAAAATAAACTAAATGTTTTCAGTTCTTTCCAGGTTTAACAAGCAATTTTTTTGATCGTAAAGCAGGTCACAATTAGTTTAGGATTTTTTTTTCAATAGTGTTTCTTTCATCTCTTTAAAATTACTAGAAGCCTCCCAAACATTACAAATACCACTTCCGTTTAGGATTTGTTGGTATCATCTTTTTTCAAAAGTCCAAGAAAGAAAGTTCCCTTTTTTATAATAAAAAATTTCTAGTCTTTTTCATGTTAAAATACTGCAGTTGAATGCTGTGTCATTTAAACTGTGAACCTTGCTACATTAATGGCATTTTTGCATGTAATTAATAGTTAGACTTTGAGATAAAAAAGCTAAAAGTATTCACAGAAACTATGTAATATATATTTTAAATGATGTACAAAAGGTCTATTACTTAGCAGAAATTTTGCTTGTTAAAGGAGTGAGGGTGTCAACTTTTGAATTTCCTGACTTGTGTGTTTTAATAAATGAGCCAATTACATGTTTATTCAAGTATCACAAAATGATATATTTTTTAGATACTAGAAAAACTAAGGTTTTGTTTTAGTATAAAATGTTAAATGTCAAACAAGTGCATGTCTTACTCATTGTCTCCTCTTTCAAATATCTTATTCCTTCTAATATAAAGTATCTTTGAATGTGACACACTTACATTTTAAGAATTTGAGAGAAAAGATAAAAACATTCAAATAAAGACACATCTGTGGTGCATATAAACAGTGTTTTACTTTATTTACTGAAATTTAGGACAGGGCATTTTTACAGAAAATACTTTGTTTTAAACATTGTCTTACATTAGAAAGAATGTGATAGTTCTCTTTGTCTTTTTCCTGCACGTCTCCTTCCTTTCACATCCTCCCCTCTTCTGTAAGAAGGAGTTAGTCAGAAGTGCATCTTTTTTCCATGGAAACTTCTCATTTTTCTATCACTTCTCAAGTTTCCAATTTGGGAGAATCACAGTGAAAAATGCTGAGTCAATCTTGCAAAACAACATTTTTCCATTTCAGAGTTTCTGCTTGAAAACCTTTCTGACTTATTTTAATCAGGAAACTTCAGTATTCCAGCTTTCTGTCTTAACTCCAAACTGATTCCAAAAGTTTGACATTTCCCACAGTCTGACAGTTTTGTTTCCCACCAGCTGTGGTAGTTTAGCACAACTGTTGCAGGTTGGAAAAATTCTGGCAAACTGTGATTTTTATCTTTTTCAGATGTTACCTCTTGTTTAAGTGTAATCTATCTTCTCCCTTCCAGATGATCCTGAAATGCTATGCCTGTCCTTCTTTCTTTGCCCCTAGAGCTTTATCAACCCCAGCTGCCTCTAATGGACCAGGTACACCCACTGCAATTACATTTTCAGCTACAATTGCACAGCGTACTAACTGTCTTCATGAATCTTTTTATTACTCTGAAGACAAAGTGAATCAGCACGGTTTTTCTACAAATTGACACCAAGTTATCTTGGTAGGATTCTTCCAGTTTTGCCTTTTAGAAAGCAAACAGGAAAGATCCTCTGTGAATGCTGTAGCATGTACCTAGTGTAGTGGTTTAAAGATAAGATAAGACTTAATTCACAGTGTTCAGAAGGTGAGCAGTGAATGTGGGGGGCCTTCATGTTTCTGGGCATAAGTTGAAACACCTGAAAGAAGGCCTAACTTCCAGAGGGGCTGCACGCCTCCCCTATGAAAAACCAGGCGTCTTCTAGGAGCTCTAATTGGCCACAGCCACAAGTCACTGGATGGTCTTGGTTATGAGCTCTTAGATGTTTTCAAAGTGAGTAGCTGCTCTTTTGACCCCTCAGGAAATGACAGAACTGACATGCTTCATTTGAGCATTGTTCTGGGTGAAGCTGTAACCCAGGAAACAAAGTCCTGACCCTGTGAAGCCAGTAGGAACTGCTCTGTGGAGCCATGACTTCATCCTCACATCCATCCTTTTTAGTAAAAGTTTCCTTAACATGTCTAAGACATGTCTAGTGTTGAAGCCCCATTGAATGTCAACTACTCTCATGGTCATTGGCTAATTTTATCCTTTAGCTCTACTTTTAGAGTCTAGTTAGGCTTGAATTTAGTGAAAAGGTGATTAATACATATTCATTTTTCACCTACCCCTAACAAGCTGTCTAAATGTTTTCTTGATTCCAGGATTCTGCAGCTGGGGCTAATTAGTACATGAGACTTTTTTTGCTATAAATTGCAATGTCTATTGCAGAAATGTTGAAATAGAGTTATTACACTTCAGATTAAGTTGGTCTCTTGATGGCTCTGACTGCAAGTAGACCACTTAGAGCTCCTGACTGAAGGCAGAGAGACAGAGAGAACCTTTTAATCAGACTGTTTCTGCTTTGGTTGTATTTCAGCGTGGCTTGTTTCCAGAACATTGTTTGGGCACAAGCTGGGCTGCGCACCTCCCCTCCGCACATCTCCCCACCTTTCCTCTTCTGCTTTCTGTAGAGACCAGAAGAGGAAAGAGAACTGCTCTGTTGATATCCTCACACTCGCCTCTATTTCCCTCGACAAGAGAATGTCTGCTAGATCTCATTACACCTGGCACCTTTTTACTCATATTTAAAGGTTAAGAAAGTGCATCTCACTGAATGAGTTGAGGAGCGGTCCAAACACAAGCTTTCTGACAGCTGCTTTCACTGCAAGTTGACATTTTGTGGTCTCAAAGCCCTGCTGAAGCCTGATATTACTAAGGAAAGGTTACAGGGTGTTCTGTGCAGTAAAATGTCTGGAGATCAACCTGGATAGAGGTATGTGATGCATCCGAATACTTGGAGCATGTTTTCAATGGCAGGTGTCCTTACAGAGGTGGAATCTCATACCATACCTGTGAATATCTGAGGCAAAAGACCATTTGCCTTTTCTTGAGCATGGTGTGAGAAAGTCTCCCAGAAGCTTTGGAAGTAGGGTGGAGGAAAGAGTGGAACTGAAGTGATTTGCTCTTGGGAACTTGCTCCCAAATATTCTTGGCATAGTCTTTGTAATGGCTACTGCTATATCAGACATCCCTGATCTGATGGAAAAGGGTACCAGGGTTTAATGAAAGGGTACCAGGTTATAGGAGCCAGCAAGTCCAGGTAAAATTCAGCCATAAATGAGGAACCAGCAGAGGGTGCAAAGCACCCAATTGATGTGCTTTGGATAGCCTTGTGTGTCCAATTGTGGGGTATAAATAGACACTGCCCAGTTCCTAAAGGTTAGGATTAGTGTTCCCTGAATTCTGTGCTTCAGAAACTGGGCAGAGCAGCACTGTGTATACGGGGCCTGGAGGCTTCATGTGTATTTTGTAAACTCTGTTGTTCCCACCTTGCCCATCTCACTCTTTCATACTGCACTTCTGCCTAAGTTCCAGCCCAAGTGAGCCACCATGTTTTTCCAAACCAGGTGAAGGCTGATGGCTTCACTGCACCACAGTACACTCCAGCAACCCAGCCAGCTGGTCACCATGTAGATTCACTATGGCCAAATCAAAACCTGACAGCGCTAAGTAGGCTTGGGCATTT